GTGGGATTGCATGTAAAATTGCTGATTTACATCTGGACAAGTTGTTGATTTCTAACAATATTCATGGAATAAGTGAACTGAAATGTCCAGTTCCTATTGATTTGTTAAGCAAATTTGTTAATAATAAAATTCCTTAAATTGTCAGTGGAACTGTTACTTGATTAAAATTTACATGAAATGTAAGAGAAATTTCAGCCAAAAATAAGTTCTTGTAGTGGGTAAAGGGTTTCTCGTAATTTGAGTCGTGTTCTAATTCGGGATGAAAAAAATCATAAAATGAAAAAATTAATAGAGCAAGAGCTAATCCTACATCGCTTAGATTGCCAGATATTTTGTTACTGTTCTTTATTCACTTGAAGAGAGCGAACGATTTGAAATTTGAAATTGAAACTTTCAGTAAGTCTCTAAATTGCTGAATCTTGGCAATTAATTAGGTGCAAACGTAATTCCGTACCAATTACTTGACACGGAACGTATCTGGCATTTTAAGATATTTTTGAAAAGTCAGGTGTCAACGTGAGAGTTTTCCTCCAAATTTATTAATCTACTAATTTATATATTGATCCATCAATTTGCCAATTTATTAACTCGTAAATGAATGGATTTTTTCATTTTTCAAATTTGGACAAATGTAAATCATGAGGTAAACGGAGTGGTACCTTATTTTTGTTTGCCTCAAGGATATAAAGATCATGAGACAATCAAAAGATGAATTCTCTCTGTTTATTTGCTGTAGATATTCGCACCTCAAAAACACGTCTCGTGTGTCGTGACTCGCGTCTCGTGACTGGAAATTTGCATAGAACGCAGGATCCCCGCGCTCGTGACCCATGTCTCATGACTCGTGTCTCGTGACTCGCACGTAGTCACTCGCATCTCGTCACTCGTGACTAGAAATCCGCATGGTACGAAGGATTCCCAAAGTTGTGCCTCATGCCTCGTGGATTTTTTTTGAAATTTGCGTTATTCGTCAAATTAATTTTATTTTTCAAATATATCAATAACGAGCAGCCCTACCAAAAAATGTCAAAAGATCTCCATTATAGAGGATTAAATTTCCGATGAAACATGACTGGTTTTCAATGTGAAACCAGAGTTCATAGCAGAGATGTCGGACAAGATGTGAATGTTTTTTTGGCCCCGAATTGACGAGCGAGTTGCGAATGGCGTTTAACATCTCCGTCACAATTTGAACACCCAGAAGATAGCTTATAGTATGATGTGGAAAAGAATTGTGCAAGGTTTTTCCAATGTCACTCGGCAATTTACGAGTTACGACAGTGATAACGCACCATTTTTCAATCCCCGAAACACTTAATGTCATTTGTAAATTTCAGTTTTAAATTTTTTTATTGTCAGGGTGGGTCGGTTCAAGTCGAAGATACAATATCAGACATAGTATCGTCGTACGACAGTTTTTCTTGTGATGAACCAGAGTCTGTGAAACTATTTCAGTTCAAGCGCACCCGCTTCCAACATTCAGGTAGCCTCTATTGGAATAATTCATTTATCGAAATAATCCTTGTAGAACCAATCAATGGGGCAGCCCCGCGAGTTCCACCAACAGCCAAAATTACAGTTCTTTCGACGATCCATAATTCTTCGGTGACGATGTTGTGTCAAGCGCAAGCAAATCCTCTTCCAGTCTTCAGGTAATCATAAAAAATAGAACGACTCTTCTTATTGCTACGATATTATCGTCAAAAAATCGCAAACTATTTTGATTTCAATGGTTATAGAACCGATAACTGACACGGGCCCTATAATTGCATCAATTGATAAAAGAATTGAAAAAGATAAATTTTATTTTTCGATATTATTTTCATAAGCGAATCCACTCCCAGTCTTTGGGTGAATGAAACATAAAATCTAATACATTATTTCGTCACGTCATTATCGTAACAACAACCCTATCCTAGCGTTCAGTTTGTCAATTATTATTTAACTAAATCTCTAAAATATGAATTTTTCCGATAACTTTATAGAGCCACTAGGTAGTGTTCCTCCTCGCCTACCCCCCAGATCGAAGTTCGATGAGTTGTTGAGACCTCAAAAAACAACAGTAACACTTCTCTGTGAGGCACAGTCTAGTCCAGCCCCACTTTATAGGTGAGCCTATCTTGATTCTACCAACATTGGTTTTTATCCCGTTGATGTATATCGACCACAATATAGCCAAGGGTAACGTCCGAATTATGATTAGCCACCTGTAAAGACGCCCTTCGTTACTCCGTACCAACAGTTGCAAGGGATACTTTGCTACTCGGTGCTTGACCTCCAGTATTCATTTCTTCTGTCAGGGAGAAGCTCGTATAATTTCTCACAGCCCAGTCAATATATTATTGCTAATAAATTAGCAATTGGCTTGACAACGGAATTTCCATGACGATGTATTTTAAATTGGAATCAACGATTTATTGCCCCAACATTGGCAGCCAATATTTTACCAACGCTGGCAGCCAACAACGCTTCAACGTTCTCTTCATTTGTTCTCAAAATTATGTTTTAAATACTATCTACCCTGACTGGCCGCGTTCCGTTCTCAAGAAATAACCAGTAGTAATACCACTACTGCTCCAAAATCATCGCTTATTTTCCAATAATTTCATTGCAACCAAGAAAAGAGGGTCGGAAGAGAGTGGGGATGATTAACAGAAAAAATGTAATAATTGATATTATTGTAGATTTAGTTCAATACTATCATTTTATTGGGAGTATTATTGATATGCAGAAAACAAATGATCATTTTCAAGAATAACGCGGTGGTTGGGTAGATAGGGTACAGACCTACTAACCGAAGGGTTCGGAGTTCAAGTTCCGCTCTGGGGGATTTTTTTTCATTATTTTCTCGACCCGCCTGTTCTGGAATCACTATTTATTCATTTATTACTCATTTTTCACTCAATTTATTAAACCAGTTCGCAATTTATTGATTAGCAACAACGTCTGTAAATCAGGCAAGGGCGAAACATGGCCGCCTATTGTGGTCCTTATCATGTTTGGAAATCAGGTTCTGATTATGTTTTGCGCTATTTCCTATCAGGCCCTGATGTCGTAGCCTTAACAGAACCGAATCTGTTCTACAGCACAGCGGACCAGGGCCTGACTACACGGAGAGAAATATTCAATAAAAATTAACAGAAAAAAGACGTAAAAATTACGTTTCGAAACGTAATCTGGGAGCGAAGTAAAATTCAATAAAAAGTGTCAATCGTCACGTAAATTCTACGATCTGTTCCGTAAAAATTACTCATCCGTCCGACGCCTCACGGCTAGCCATGAGTCACCGTGAGGGGTAGATTTTAACAACACGTTCCGTAATTTTTCCGGAACTTTTCGTAAAAATTCTTAAACATCCAAGAATTTTCATGTTCTGAGGCATAATAAGTCTTGAAGTTTCTGTTAGATTTTACAACTACAAGAAAAATTACGTGACTTTTTCGTATTTTTTCAGTGACAGACCTGAAAATTTACTGAACGTTTCAGATTTATTCTCTTGTATTCCTATAGAAATTCACTGAAAACGGTTCTCGCTTGCGGATTACGTGAAATGTTCTGTAATTTTTCTTGAATATTTCTCTCCGTGTAGTCAAGTATATACTAAAATTTCTACTCGGGACGGATCTATATTCATCTTGACTCATTTTGCTTCACTACTCAATTTCCTAATGTAGTCCAATGGGTATCCTGTCACCGCCAATAGAAATTTCTTCATTCGAATAGGAAAAAGTTAACTCATTGCTATCCAAGTCGTAAAAATAAACGTCTTCCAGAGCCAAACAGCAACGTAGGACCAAGAATCGCCGGTGAGCGTTACGAAGGTGGAAAACTCGTTACGGTGATTGTAAACAGAGTAGTAGCATTGAACTGTGCGGTCCAGGGGTCACCTGTTCCAGTTACAAGGTATAAACACCTTGGGCGCTTGTTGGTGTCAGTCAGATGCATTTTTGACTCTTCGTTTCGCAAAAGGAAATATTGACAGTTCTTTCCCGTGCAATAGCTCTAAAAATATAAGGTTCGGGAGGTTGTTCAGGCACCCGAGGGTCAGAACGTGGCCCTTGGTCACTCGCTCCAGGCTCATCACCTTTCGACCAGCAGTCTTTTCAACCGCCTCCCTTCCCTTCCTGCGTACCTCTATTGCTCCCCATTCCTTGTTAATGATGTGGAATGATTTCATTTAATGCATGTTTTTTTTTCTCTTTAGTGATTAATCAGCTGCACAATTCCGTTGCAAATTGATGCAAGAAGATTAAGATCAAACGGATAAAGCCTTAATACTTTGGGACTAGTGATGTAAGGTCAACGAATCTCATAGTTTCATCAATATCTCTGAATTAATTTCGATGACTTATCTTCTTTCATCATTTTGCTACAAACATTAATTCTTAATTAACAAAAGCATCAACCAGAAGTGATTATCATGGACATTCTCAAGCGTTACATAAGGTATTGTCAAAATTTTGTAGCATTTAATTATTTACAATCACAACTGAAGGACTTGACCATGCGAATTCATGGGTAAGTACTTAGCGCGTAATTATTATTATTCTGAGTAATTATTGCAATGAAGGATCACGGCTGTGAGATGAATGTTAAGGAGTTACTGGACTATGAAAAGATGCCTTCGATAATTTCAATTTCAGAACCATCCGGCCAAACAGCACCGAAGATTACCGGAGATGGTCTGAATAAAAAAATCGGTGTTAAAACCGATTCCCTGGCACTTATATGCGCGGCACAAGGATTCCCTGCACCTCAATCTAGGTACACGCGCAATATCGCGTGTCGATGGCCGTCATTCCGTATTCACTTTAAATGCAATCATCAGTGAATTGATTTGTACATTCATCCATCTGATTAATTATCCAAACGGGGATACGGGTTGAATTAAACGTTGAATTAGAGTCAAAAAAAGATATAAGGAAAGCAAGAATCCCCTCAGAAATACCTGCCGGTGTTAGATTATCGTTTTAAATATTCTGCGATGCTCCTTGTTGCAGATGGTACAAATTCCTCAATGGGACGACACGTAGACAACCAGTACAGCTGAATGATCGAGTACGTCAAGTCAGTGGAACTTTGATAATTCGTGAGGCACGAGTTGAGGATTCTGGGAAGTATCTCTGCATCGTTAACAATTCAGTGGGCGGTGAGAGCGTGGAGACTGTATTGACTGTAACGGCACCACTTGGGGCGGAAATTGAACCGCGTACACAAACCGTTGACTTCGGCAGACCTGCAACATTCACTTGCAATGTACGAGGGAATCCCATTAAGACTGTTTCATGGATGAAAGATGGAAAGCCACTTGGACATGAGGATTTGGTGTTGAGGATTGACAGTGTCAAGAAAGAGGACAAGGGAATGTATCAGTGCTTTGTGAGAAATGATCAAGAGAGTGCACAGGCTACGGCTGAGTTGAAGTTGGGAGGACGGTTCGAGCCACCTCAGATTAAACAGGCATTCACTGAGGAGACATTACAGCCAGGGCCCAGTATGTTCTTGAAGTGTGTGGCTAGTGGTAACCCTACACCTGAAATTACATGGGAGCTTGATGGGAAGAGGCTGTCGAATACTGAAAGGCTGCAGGTTGGACAGTATGTCAAGGTCAATGGAGATGTTGTTTCGCATTTGAATATATCCAGCATTCATACAAATGATGGAGGACTTTACAAGTGTATTGCTGGATCAAAGGTATGAAATATAAATTCAGATTGCGTAATGATAAATGTTTTGAACACTAGTGAGAGGATTGGAGAAGATTGTTCACGTTTTGAAGGAAAACTTTGAAATAATGGAAAATATGTTGAGTTCTATTCAGTACCATAGGAGATATTTACGACCTTGGGTTTTGAATTGAGTGAATTTTCTTGTTGACAATCTCACAATTATTGTTTATGATTTATCAAATAACAAATGTCAATAATAAATCCACTAATTGCATCTTGTAAAATTATAAAATTATATCTTTCAAAATTATGTCACGTTTTATTTTTCTCGTCTTTTTTTCTGCAACTCTTGTAATCGAAATAAGTACTCTGAGCCGTCATACAAGTTGGGTTTCGTCCTAGATCTATTTTATTTTTTATTTATTTTTCCTTTGCCACCCTATTCAATTTTTTACATATTTGCGGTTTCATGGACCGACTTCCTCTCCATCCGTCTCGCATTGTACCCCAGGAGCTGTACCCCACGTACAGACTCTCCTGGAGACCAAGGGAAACCATGGAAAACTTGGTCGACAAGGGCGTCCAACGACCGAGCTTCATCGGAGAATCATTGGAGAAGTGTTAGGAAAATATTCTCCGATGATTCTCGGTATCTAGACTTCCGTTCGACGGATTTCGAAAGATTAAAAATCTCAATTGCCCCAAACCAGACCCGAACGCGCGCCTCACGGGTTCCGCTGTCCGGCCGAGCGATTTAACCACTTCGAGCACTGTCGCCGGTTCATTTTATTTTCTATTTTTTCGTCTCGAAATTCCACGAATGTGGTCAGAATATTCCAAAATGGCGTTACTTGACTTTGATTATTAACAGTATGACGTGAATTTAAATATATACTTATATGTTACATTTTTTTGGTACATAATCGAAGTTGTTTTGGGGTGTTTTGACCAATTCGCGAAATTTCGAGAAGAAAAAATTAAAAATAAAATAGATGCTGACGGATCCCAACTTGTATAATAGCTCAAAATACTTGTTTTCATTATAAGAGTTACTGAAAAAAAGGTGAGAAAAATAAAAGGTGACATTATTCTGAAAATTCAAGTTTTTCAAATTATTGTTTTTTTAAAATTTGGTATTATGAGCACCTAGCGATTGAAGAAAAAAATTAACCAAAATCTTCTTATAGATGGTAGAAACTGGAAAATTTTGAGCCATCATAAATTAAAATCAGCTGAATAGAACTCGAGGTATTGAAAAACAACGAAAGAACTAAAAAAAATCATATCTTCGAAATGGGATATTGAAAAAATCTGAAAAAAAATGAGAGATAGTTTTTTAAAAAATCGAGATCAACTTTCAAAAGTGTAAGGGTCAGCCGTTGACTCATTTAGGATGGAACCCTTCATATATTTTCATCGGCATTCCCGATCTGGAGATTATTTTTTAAATAGCGCACACTTCGCTAAGTCTCACTCTGCTTTTTTGAAGATATTTATAATATACCCTACCGATCTTTAATTAATTTGATTTCGACTCATTCAATGTGTTAGGTTGGCTCTGCTGAACATTCCGCTCGTCTTAACGTTTACGGTCTTCCTTTCATTCGTCACATGGACAAAAAAGCCATCGTAGCTGGGGAAACGCTGCGTGTAACATGCCCAGTAGCTGGTTATCCTATTGAAAGCACCGTTTGGGAGCGCGACAACCGTGTTCTACCCATCAACAGAAAGCAGAAAGTCTTTCCCAATGGTACACTCATCATCGAGAACGTTGAAAGACACAGTGATCAAGCCACCTACACATGTGTCGCACGGAACGCCCAAGGATACTCAGCACGCGGTACACTCGAAGTTCAAGTCATGGGTAAGTTGAAAAACTTATTTAAACTTTTTCCCACGTCAAAACATAGGGATTATTCGTCAAAGGAAATAACAAAGTTAATAGAAAAAAAATTCAATCAATTCAGTTCTCTTCAGGTGTGTTTTGGATTATATTCTGCAACTTTTCCAATTCCTTGGAAATTCGATGAGAAATTTCAATTTTTGTTGAAAATGAAAAACTTGCCCGTTATTGTCGTTCGAGAATGTAATTTTTTTAAATTCACTAATGGATCAGCTTCAATTCGCTTTCAAAATCGCAAGTGATTATCATTTTGAAAAAATGGTGTTGTTAAAAAAAATTTTAAGTCAAATGTTCTTATGGGGCAGTACAATATAATTCTCATGCCTCACAAACTAATGGCTCTTGTGCAGACTCTGTAAGTGCTTCGGATGGCAAGAGCAAGCACATATTAAAATACTCTAATAATGTTTAAATATGTCGAGAACATGGGACTTCAAGCCATATGGCAAGCGGGAGCAGTGTACTTGCTCGCCTAATAAAATCCGTGTGGGATCCCGCTGAGATTCCTTAAGTGAAACTTTTCTCATTTTTTACATAACTCTTTTTATAGCACAGATAAGAGAAAAAAAATAAAGTTACCACCGTCATTGCTCTGGCCATCCTATTAATAATTATTTTTTCAGCCAAATGAACGAGACAAAGTTTCCTAAATTATGAAAAAAAATGGCATAAGTGCCCAATATAATATTTTAAATTATTTTCAGTATTTAATTTTCATACGCGAATCAATTCGTTGACGTCATTTCCCTCTAGAGAGTAAGAAAATAATTTTGAAACTCTCAACCGCACATAATGTGAACGTAGGAAACCAACAGGGCGGCTATGGCAGGTGGTACAAACTCGTGAAGAACACCTGCTTCTCAGGAGGAGGGCGGCAAATTTCCATTCTCCTTTTACTCGTTTTTTTTCTCTCGTTCAACATGTATACCTGCAGATAAAAATCCCCAACCACAGACTGTCTCCCCAGTCTCGGAGGCTCCAAATAACACTCCACATTTGATCTCAATAAAAATTCTAGTTTAAAGATTGCTTTTCACCAGTGACACCAGCGGTACAACAATTTGCATTCACGAAACTACCAATGAACGCTGGAGAATTTGCAAATCTCCAATGTATTGTTCCAACCGGCGATTTGCCCTTGATGATAAAATGGAGTTATCCAGGAGAGGAAATGGGTGGTTCATCTGGCGTTATAACTAAGAAAGTCGCGGATCGTGTTAGTATGTTAATGATATCAGCGATTACAGCTAAACACGCGGGGGATTACGTTTGCACGGCCGAGAATGCGGCAGGGACTTCATCATATAAGACACAGCTCACAGTTAACGGTTCGCGGTTTGAAAATAGTCCGATGGTGATACGTTGTTTATACCTATTAATTTTATTGTTTGCTATGAGGCCGTTTAGTTTTAGTTTTATTGTAGAAAAATAATCTTGGCTCAAGAATATACATTTCAAATTGTCGAATGGCGGATCCCTAAATCCTTAGCTGAATACGAGCTAAATAGACCTTTTTATACCTTCATCACTTTCAGAGACAACGATAAAAACTTCAGAGTTATGAATAGATGTCACGTTCTACAGCACTTATAAGTAACATTCGATTGAGACAAGGTTCTCCAGACTCAGAAAAAATTAGAAAAATTCTTGAACTAAGATTAGCTTTTTCTATACTCAATTTAGTTTTTTTTGTTGGGTCTCTCCCCCGCACCTCCTGGGACCGAAAACAATCAACGAATCTGAATGAATAGTGACATCTGGCATCTCTGCTGGTTTTTCTTCATCTTCAAAAAAACTTCACTACCTTCTCGTTCAATTCTTCATAAAGATCATTAAATGTGTTCATAGTCGCGCCGCAGGTACTTCAATTCTCATTCGGGGAAGATCCCCTTAATTCCGGTGAAATGCTCTCAGTCTCCTGTACAATTGTTAAGGGTGATCTACCAGTCAACTTGACGTGGAACTTCAATGATGAGCCAATCAATCATTACGATCGTCATGACATTACAATTATTAATAATAATAAAAGAGTGAGCTTTTTGAGCATCGACAGTGTTTCGGCGAGACATGCTGGCAAGTACAAGTGCATCGCAACAAACGCGGCCGGATCCCACAGTCACACCGCTGTTCTCGCAGTCAATGGTAGCATCATTATTTGTCTAACCGCAATTCTTGTGTCATCGTTGTCAATTTTTTTTATCTGATTTTTGTTTTATTATGACACGCGATGGTGAATCTCCCGACAACGATGACGAGGCTTGTTGATATATCTATATGCAAAAAAAATCTTATTGTCAGTGCACGCTGGTCGCGCGGGGACTATTGAGTGACTGTCTACATCCCGTATATCAAAACCTCAACGTTGAATCCCGTATGTAAATGTCTCCGCCGCCCACAAAGTATTTGTGAGAACTTTATTCGTGTAGAGGAGGAGAACATTTCTGTTTGCCAAAGGGAAATATTCAACTTTCAAATATTATGAGAACGAGGTTTATCAAACGATGAAAATATTCAATTTTAATTAAACCTTACATTTGTGATAGATAGAAAATCGACGATTACGAGTAAACCGTCGGAAATTTTTGATATTAATACATATTGTGATCAATTTTTATTTTGAAGATAACATAATGCAAATTTAATTCAGGTGGTTCAATTGCTTAATGTGGAGAAATGTTAGATTAAAATCAATCTTGCTTGATTATATCAAAATTCTCTTTAACTTATAGTAATATCTGCATAATGTCACATGAAACGGAGTAGAATTGCGTCTTGTCAATATCAATCAGCTACAGCGACACACTAGTGCAATAAATACACGATGTCCCGAAACTGCGCACTTTATTTTTGAAGGTGCAAAGAGGGTGAAATTTGGTGTCGAAAGTTCCTCTTCAATTTTCCTGTACGACGCCCCTCCCCCTTCCCCGTCAAGTTCTTCAACTTTGAATTTGCCCAATCACAGCGTTGCTCCGCCCACTGCGCGAGTGGTTCTCAACTCTATCGTTTTCAAATGAGAAAAATCATTATTTTGACATTTTTTCTCCATTATTTAAGATATGATGATTGAAAATGGATCAAAATTATAATTTTTCTCATTTGAAAAGCATTAAGTTGACAACCACCGGCGCAGTTTAAGGAGCAACGCAGTGATTAGTTAACTTTAAAGGTGAATAACTTGACGGGGGCGTCGGACAGTAAAGGTGAAGAGGACCTTTCGACTCCAAATTTCACCCTCTGTCCACTATCAAAAATAAAGTGCGCAGTTTTGGAACACAGTGTATACTATTAAAATATTCCATCCATCTTAAATTATCAATGTATGATATATTTGCAAATATATTCGTTAAGTGACGCGAACAAGCGTAACATAAACTGACGATAGGTTCATCTTTACAATCACTTCAGTTTAAGGATTCGCAATGAAATTGATATGTCGAGCAAGATTCGCCTAATGAATAATAGTCTTTGAAAGTAGAAATAGTTCCAGAAATCAGAAATATTTTTTTCCTCTATGGTGTATCGCTTCCGGTGAGACGTTCTACTAGACAAAGGATGGTGTCACTGAGATGTAAATCACTCTCGCTTTGATCTATTCACTCGATAATTTCCTAAAACGAACACTCCATGCCACAAACATGAATCCCTACCCAGTCCTATTATCTCGAAAAACCTAAAGAGATATTTCAGTTGCACCACAGATAGCCCCGTTCTCCTTCGGCGAGGAGGCTGTAAACGCCGGAGACATGGCAACAGTCCAATGTGCCGCCGTCAAAGGCGATCTGCCTTTGGACATTCAATGGTCTCTGAACACTCATCCTATTGACCCGGATCATCATCGTGACATCGTAGTGAGAAAGAGTGGTCAACGTGCTAGTACACTGACCATAGAATCAGTTGCTGCACGTCACGCGGGTATATATTCCTGTAGTGCTAGCAATACAGCTGGCTCGACGTCCCACTCAGCCGATTTGTCTGTTAATGGTAGGCAATAAATCGGAAATCGTGCTGAGATGCATGCCACATTTCATCCGTGTGCCTATCACTCTCCTCACCCGCGACTATGAATGACGACTCTTATATGCGCCCGTTTTCCTCCAACTTGGTCGCTATTGTTTTTCCATTAGTTCATTGCTGCAATTGTTATTTGCGCCATCCCGCATTGCGTCATTTGTCATTGCGGACAAAGCAGTAAATTGGGGTGAGTCAGTGTCAGCTGTTTATACGATCGTGAGTGGTGATATTGTGCTGGAGATTTCGTGGGCTTTTGACGGCATATCATCATCAATGATGACAAACCTCGCATTTCTGTGACTGTCACTAAACGAAATAGTCTGATATGAGTCGTTTCAGCGAGTCCGAGTCATGCGGAAGAATACACATGCATGGCATCCAATGCTGTTGGGGAACCATACGGAGAAAAAATTTCCAGATTTTTTCCGGAGAAATTCAGGCAAAAATTACCGTGCCGCCTGGTAAAGTGGATTCAATTGTCTAGCACCAGAAAAATTCCGGTGCTGCATAGTAAAGTTCCGGTACCGCACAGTAAAAGCTTGATCCCTGGCTGTTTTCTATTACATGATAAATTCTATTCAATACTTAAAAATGAGTATAGATTGCCATTCAGCATATCATCATATTTATTTTTTTAACCTCTACTATCTCCCCTCTCCTATATTGATAGCGGAATGCGCAGCAAAGCTACGTGAAATGTTTGACAGGCAAATGTATCTCTAGAGCGTTATTCACCCCATGGAGAGAAAATAAAAGGCACTTATTTTATTTCTTAGCCGTTTTATCACAACACTAATTAATATTCCACTGAATCGATGCTTCACGGAGAGAAATGTTCAGTAAAAATTACGGTACTTACAATTCGCTTACCGATTGCGAAATCGACTCAGAAAATTTAAGTGACGGTATCGTAATTTTTCTCAGGAAATTCAGATAAAAATTACGGAACTTACAATTCGCTTATCGATTGCGAAATCGACTCAGAAAATTTAAGTGACGGTATCGTAATTTTTCTCAGGAGATTCAGATAAAAATTACGGAACGCTCTGGAAAAATTCTGTGACGGTTTCGTAAAATTTCCTACAGCCATATTTCGCTCCGGAATTACGGAAAAGATACGTAATTTTTATTGAATATTTCTCTCCGTGTATGAAAAACATCAACCTGGGGCTTCAGTGGGGAGGTATGTGAGAGAGGAGGCAATACGGAAAACATCATCTGGTCACGTTGAGTTGATGTTCGTGGTTGCGAAGAGGGAACGAAGAGTGCCGAAATCTTACGAATGCGCGAAAAAATGACTGTTGCAACAGTACTATTTCCTACTCTTTGCGGTACATTTCGCTTGAAAAGACCATCCGAACCCACTTTACTGTGCGAGCACGGTAATTTTTCTCGTACTTTTCTCTCCGTGTAGTTATTCTACACAGTTGACGTTCAATGGTAGATCCATTAAAGACACTCACTCGTGGCTTCATTGCAAAAATCGGGTGAAAAAATCGAAATTGGAATTCACTTCAGATTTTAATTATACAAGGCTCGCTTTGGACGTGGTTTTTCAATTTTTTCTTTGATCGCTCGCACTGTTTGACGAGCTACATACACTGATAGAACGGTTTAGTCGAACCAAACGAGACTTTTTAGCTATTACCACGATTCGTTAACTATTAACGAATCACGGTAACAGTTAAGAAGCCTCGTTTGATGCAACTGAATCGATCCACCTTTTCTATCAGTGTAGAAACATCAAAGATTTTTAAAGACTTTTTAAATCTCGTATTGAACGTAGAGATCGGCCTCGTTGGGTTAACCAGGGCAAAATTTGAGAAAACAAGTGTTTTTCAGTTGCGCCCCAAATTGCACCCTTCACCATCGCCGAGGGTCCAGTTAACTGGGGCGAGTCAATAAGTGTTCCCTGCTCAGTCCTCAAAGGTGATCTCCCAATAGACATCACCTGGGCCCTTAATGGTGTCCCAATTCGACGTGATCGTGGAGATATTAATATTGTTGCGACAACCCGGAAGAACAGTATTCTCAGCATCGATTCGGTCTCAGCGGGTCATACGGGTGAATATACATGTTCTGCGTCGAATTCAGCGGGTGGAACAAGTCATTCAGCGACACTCACTGTGAATGGTATGTTCGACCAAAAAAGGAGCTATCAAAACGAAAGAAAAAGAGACTGAAGCCTTGAATGTTTTACAAAATTTCCTTCTCACATCCAACCAAAGTGAAACCGACTCCGAGGTGAAAGAAGCTTATCCTCATAGAAAACTTTGCATAGAGCCGAATCCAGCGCGATTTTTGTTTCGTTTTTTAGTTGCTCCTCAAATAGTGCCTTTTGTGATGGGTGATGAACCGGCGAACTGGGGGGATGCAGTAACCGCGACTTGCACAGTCTTCAAAGGCGACTTTCCGATTAACATCGAGTGGTCGTTGAACGATCAACCAATCCACAATAATTATCCTGATATAGTAATAAGTACGTCGAGTAAACGCGTGAGTGTCTTAACAATCGATCAAGTAACAGCACGACATGCCGGTGAATACTCCTGCAGCGCCAGCAATGCAGCGGGCGGAATGAGTTACACAGCATCACTGAGCGTCAACGGTACAATTCGTATTTTTCCACAGAATTGAATAGAACAGAACAGGGTCAGGTTATCTATATATGAGACGTGTTGTTCCCAGTCGGTCCCATTAAACTTTCCATAATCCTTTCACAAGAGTTTTCATAAATTTTATTTGAATTATACAGTCGCCCCACAAATAGCTCCATTCGTGATGGGTGATGAACCGGCGAACTGGGGCGACACAGTCACCGCTACCTGTACTGTGATCAAGGGAGACAGACCCATTGAGATTGAGTGGTCACTCAATGGCGAGCTCATAGACCATAATAAGCCTGATATTACTATTAGCACTGGTAAAAGCGTCAGTTTATTAACAATCGATGCAGTGAGTGCTCGTCACGCGGGAGATTACACTTGCTCAGCGAGCAATTCCGCTGGAGGAACAAGTTACTCTGCTTCTTTAACGGTCAACGGTATATCATTCACATTGTTTTGTTAATTTATTCGATATTTACGAACTTCCCATCCTTGTCATCATCATTTTCCCCACAAAGTTCATTTGAAAGGTTTTCGGCATCATTTATACATTATTCATGCGATTATTATTGTTATGAGGACTGATAGGGCTAAATAGCGAAAGACATTTTTCTTACATTGAAGAATATTTTATAGGAATCGTGCACTGATACTTTATCTTGGAATTATTCTCGCTCGTATTAATAATTTTGATTCGATATATAGGTTGAAGTGAGGCAACATTAACTTTTCTTGGTCGTTATGATCACTTTGCCCTTATCGATGAGGGTAATATGAAGATCATTGAATGTGCTTTATCTTATTTACGTGGTGTGTGGTGTATTATTCATGCGGGTATTATTTTTATTAGTTCGTCCTGAGATTGCTGCTTTTACGTTTGGAGAAGAACCATCCAATTCCGGGGATACTATATCGACTTCGTGCACGGTTATAAAAGGGGATTACCCTATTTCGATCGAGTGGTCATTAAACGGGGTACCGATATCTCCTAATTCAGAGATAAGTATTGTTAGTACTAGTAAGAGAGTCAGTGTGCTGACGATCGATGACGTCTCGGCTCGACATGCTGGGGAGTACACGTGCTCAGCGAGTAATACCGCTGGTGGAATAAGCTACTCGGCTTCCTTAGCTGTTAATGGTATTGATTTTTCAATAATTGATGTTTTCAATTGAAGAGCAGGCTCATCTACGAAACGATCATCTACACTTCCTCCACCTATATTCAACACCTATTTCTATCTATTATTCATGATTGTTTTCCTGGGTATTCTCAGTTGCTCCCGAGATAGCTCCCTTCGATTTCGGTGACAATCCCTCAAATGCAGGAGATACAGTGACAGCTCCGTGTACAGTTCTGAAAGGCGATCATCCTATTGACATTCAATGGGCTCTGAATGGTATACCAATCACTACAGAGCCGTCAGATATCGCTATTGTTAACACCAGTAAACGCGTTAGTTTATTGACTATCGATGGAGTCTCTGCTAGACACGCTGGTGAATACACCTGCACCGCCAGTAATGCTGCGGGTGCCATCAGTTATTCATCGACATTAGCCGTCAATGGTAACTCATTATGAGATGATGAGGATATTGAATAAAAATTCCGTCCTTTTTTTGTAGATTTTGCCAAAAGCCATCCCTTCACAATTCCTTCCTATAAAAAAAATCTCATTCTCTCCTTCACTTTCGATTTTTGTGGTATTCTCAGTTGCTCCAGCGATAGCTCCCTTCGCTTTCGGAGATGAACCTTCTAACGCAGGTGAGACGGTAACAGCCGCCTGTACAGTTCTCAAAGGTGATCATCCTATTGATATTCAATGGGCTCTGAACGGTGAACCGATTACCAAGGAACAGTCAGATATAAGAGTCGTTGACGGGGGTAAACGCGTCAGTTTGTTGACTATTGATGGAGTTTCTGCTAGACATGCTGGGGAGTATACCTGTACTGCCAGCAACGTTGCTGGTGGCACCAGTTATTCATCAGCACTAGTTGTCAACGGTACTGCATAGTGAGATGATGATGATGATGATGTCAAAAGAAATTTTCAAAATTATCTGTATAAATTTTGCCAAGAGACGTTCCTTCCAATCAATCATGCAATAACTCTTCCCGATCCCTATTTTTTAGTTTCACCGCAAATAGCCGCATTTTCGTTCACGGACGGTCCAGCAAGCTCTGGAGAACCGGTCTCCGTGACTTGCACTGTTCTCAAAGGTGACTACCCAATGAAACTCGTATGGGAACACAACGGTGAACAAATAAAACCTCACCATGGCGATATAGTAATTAATAAAATCAGTAAACACATGAGTGTTCTCAGCATAGAATCAGTGGTAGCTAGACATGCAGGGGAATTCAAGTGTGTGGCGATCAACAATGCTGGTACGGCCAGTCAATCAGCAATCCTGAGTGTCAACGGTAAACTCCGCGAAATTATTGAAAATGCTTCTTTATTTTGATTGTAATTCATGACTGTATTTTGTGAGGAAGAAAATTAGCACGATCGCTTCACTTCTGCTTCATCGTTGATGGTACCAGACAAATCGTTGTATTAGCGAAACTGAGCTCTAATTATTCATGCACCTCGACTGATATAGTATCCTCCCGCAGTTGCTCCCCAGATAGCGCCTTTTATTATCAGCGAGCAGCCAGTTAATTGGGGTGACACTGTAACAGCCACTTGCACAGTGCTGAAGGGTGATTATCCCATTGAGATTGGTTGGGCACACAATGGAGTACCTCTTACGCGAAATAATCAAGATATTACGATTGTCAGTACGAGTAAACGCGTCAATCTGTTAACGATTGAGCCTGTAACTGCTCGTCATGCCGGTGAATTTACCTGTACAGCAAGTAATGCTGCTGGCGGCATAAGTTACTCGGCACCACTAGCAGTCAATGGTACAAACACACATTTCCCAACCTGCTATTACTTCGAGACGTGGTCCAATCCATTTCCTTGACTCTTTGCACAATATCTCAGTATCTTTATCCTTCATTATCCATTTTTTTTCATTTTATCCACTCATTGGTGATTTGATATTTTAGTTACGCCACAGATAGGTCCATTTTCGATGAGTGATGGCCCAGCAAACTCTGGGGATATGGTATCCGCCACTTGTTCCATCACGAAAGGTGATTTTCCGGTGGAAATCTACTGGCAGCACAATGGAAATAAACTTGATCAGACTTATCCAGATGTTTCTGTTACAAAAATTAATAAGCACATGAGTGCCATCAGTATCGAGTCTGTTGCTGCTAGGCACGCGGGGGTGTATACTTGCATCGCGAGAAATCATGCTGGCAATGTCACCCACTCCACGACACTTGCCGTCAATGGTAGACGAGTCGGGCCAATTTTTTATTTTTATTAATTGCGTGTATATAACCAAATGCACTGAGCCAAAAAGCACTTTTATTTGTGTTAACCCTATTCACGTCATTCTCCCATTCCTTCCGAGCCTCTCAATGACTTTACAACATTTCGAATGTCTCTATAAGGTTAAATCATCGGAAAATAATTTCTAAATTGAAATCAAATTCTTAGTTACACCGCAGATTCTTCCATTTTCATTCGGTGAGGAGCCTTCGAACTCGGGCGATGCGGTATCGATCACGTGTTCAATATCAAAAGGTGATTTTCCTCTGGAAATCAGGTGGGCATTCAACAGCAAGCCGATAACCCAACGTACTGACATCATCATAACTGGTGGTAAACGTCATAGTACTCTGGCCATTGAATCAGTCGCTGCGAGACACTCTGGCGAGTACACGTGTACTGCCTCAAACAGGGCTGGAGCAACGAGCCATACCGCTATACTCGCTGTCAATGGTACAATTGTGTCACGAGATATTCAACGTTTTACCTTCAGCACAACATATGTTTTCCTCAATATCAATCCTAAATAAAACCATCAAATTCTCAAGAAAACCTTTTCCATAGCTCATTGATTCCTATTCACTGATTCGATCAATCCGTGGAGAGCATCAGAACAGTCAAATCTTTGGCCAAAACACTATGAAATAACTTCTGTATCAGAATTTCAAATTCTCAATTACACTGCAGATACGTCCGTTTTTATTCAGTGACGAGCCTTCAAATTCAGGAGATGCGGTATCGATTACTTATTCTATATCAAAAGATGATTTGCCTTTGGAAATCTCTTGAGCGTTTAACAACGAGCTGATAACCCAGAAACGTACTGAAACATGATAATTGCTAGTAAACGTCAGAGTACTGTAGCAATTGAATCCGTCGCTGGGAGAAACTCGAGCGAGTGCACTTGTACTACTTCGCACAGGGCTTGAGGAACGAAGCATATAGCTATTCTTGCTGTCAATGGTGCATTCGTATCACGAGACGTTTTGAATTTTTCTCTTCAGCACACTGCGTAATTCTCGATATGAATCCCGAAAACAAAACAAACAAATAAATTCATCTCCAATTCTCTTCCATGATTTAGCAATTTCTACTTGTTGGCGTGTGAAGGATTCTATTATAATCAAATTCGCGTTCAAATAATCGTGAATTAATTTCTGAGTTGAAAAATTTCTGCAGTTAACCCGCAGATCCTTCCGTTTTCATTCGGTGATGAGCCTTCGAACTCGGGTGATGCAGTATCGATTATGTGTTCAATTTCAAAGGGTGATTTCCCTCTGGAAATTAGTTGGACGTTCAATACCGAGCCAATAACTCAACAACGCACTGATATCATGATAACTGGTGGTAAACGTCACAGTACTTTAGCGATTGAATCAGTCGCTGCCAGACATTCCGGAGCGTATACCTGTTCTGCTTCAAATAGAGCTGGAGGAACGAGTCATACAGCTATACTTGCTGTTAATGGTATATTTGATTTGCCAGACGTTTGACGTTTCATCTGTTGAAAGACGTGTATCCCTCACTTCCCAAAACTTTGAATATCTTCTCCTTAGCAGTCCTTTCCATAACACGTTTTTTTTTTTCATTAGTTACCCCCCAGATCGCTCCATTCACCAT